AAAACGCAACTGCTGCTCAAGTTGCTTAAGCCTTAGCTTTTGCAGCTTTATCTTCATCACAGCATTCCTGGATTTCACTGCCTACTGAGATGCCGCCCAGCAGCTCAGTAATGCTGCCTCTGATGCCTGCTCATCTCGTCTAGCTAGCCGGTGCTGGCGTAAGCTTTCCGTTGTTTTCGGGTACTATTTTAAACATATTTTTTCTACATACCTTATCTTTGATCTTCTTATGTGCCACCACGTGATTTAAAAAGTGACGGGACATAGACAGATAAGTTGGTGGTGCGCATTAACCTTAAAAAAGAACAAATCGCTACAACATTGCTCAATTGAGGTAAGTGTGTGACTTGGGTGCTGAGATAAGCGTATGACTTGGAGCTGAGGTAAGAGCTGATGTAAGCGTGTGACTTGGGAGCTGAGATAAGCGGTGTGACTTGGGAGCTGAGGTAAGCATGTGACTTGGGAGCTGAGGCAAGCGTGTAGACTTGGGAGCTGAGGTAAGCATGTGACTTGGGAGCTGAGGTAAGCATGTGACTTGGGAGCTGAGGCAAGTGTGTGACTTGGGAGCTGAGATAAGAGCTGAGGTAAGCATGTGACTTGAGATCTGCGGCAAGCGTGTGGCTTGCTAACTAATGCAAGTATGTGACTCCCGGCCCTATACAGGAGGTAAAGTCAACAAGCGATCTGTTGACACCTTGCGCGAGCCGCAGCGTCATGTCAGTGGGAGTCGCCTCGTTGACGGCCGAGATCTCAGCCGTCGGACGTCTTGGACCAAATCTCGCGATATTAGCAGAAGCAACATCGTGCCGCATGCCGTATGCGGCTCGTACATCCAGCGTCATCACGACCATTGTAGCTCCGGCTTGCATTGCAGCACTCGACTGTAGCTCCGGCTTGCATCGCAGCACTCGACTGTAGCTCCGGCTTGCATCGCAGCACTCGACTGTAGCCGAACCGGAACCCCGCTGCCGTCTGGCTCTACCATCTGCATCCGCCGCCAGCTTCCGTACATCAGCGGACGCCCGGTGATGTGCCGGCACGGCCGACTGTAGCCCGTGGCTTGGGCGAGAGGGCGATAAGCTGCACGTGCAGTGTTGCGCTCCTCCACCAGGCTGTGCGCACAAGTCAGCCGGGTTGTTCCACCCTCTGCCTCAGGTTAGGTGCTGGTCACCCGGTCGGCCGCGGAGGCCGCGGGCCGGCGGCGGCCGTGAGCAGCGCAGTCATGACCACAACAACAGGCTCCTCCGAGAAGGTGGCAAGCTCGGACTTATCTGAGCAGCATGGCAGGTCCGGTGATTCGGTGGTGACTTAGGATCCGGGGGGAGAACCTGAGTTCCGTGTTCCCTTATCCAACAGCGGCAGACCGTGGCGCACAGCGGCAGACCCCGGGTGACGCTCCCTCCTCCAGCAGCATGGTAGACCCGAGTGACGCTCTCCCCTCCAGCAGCCTGGCAGACCCGGGTGACACTCTCTCCTCCAGCAGTCCGGCAGACCCGGGTGACGCTCCCTCCTCCAGCAGCATGGTAGACCCCGGTGACGCTCTCTCCTCAGCAGCCTGACAGACCCGGGTGACGCTCTCTCCTCCACCAGCCTGGCAGACCGGGTGACACTCTCTCCTCCAGCAGTCCGGCAGACCCGGGTGACACTCTCTCCTCCACCAGCCTGGCAGACCCGGGTGACGCTCTCTCCTCCACCAGCCTGGCAGACCCGGGTGACGCTCTCTCCTCCAGCAGCCTGGCAGACCCGGGTGACGCTCTCTCCTCCAGCAACCTGGCAGACCCGGGTGACGCTCTCTCCTCCAGCAGCCCTGGCAGACCCGGGTGAAAGCTCTCTCCTCCAGCAGCCTGGCAGACCCGGGTGACGCTATCTGCTCCACCAGCCTGGCAGACCCGGGTGACACTCTCTCCTCCTCCAGCAGCCTGGCAGACCCGGGTGACGCTATCTGCCTCCAGCAGCCTGGCAGACCCGGGTGACGCTCTCTCCTCCAGCAACCTGGCAGACCCGGGTGTGACGCTCTCTCCTCCAGCAGCCTGGCAGACCCGGGTGACGCTCTCTCCCTCCAGCAGCCTGGCAGACCCGGGTGACGCTATCTGCTCCACCAGCCTGGCAGACCCGGGTGACACCTCTCTCCTCCAGCAGCCTGGCAGACCCGGGTGACGCTATCTGCTCCAGCAGCCTGGCAGACCCGGGTGACGCTCTCTCCTCCAGCAGCCTGGCAGACCCGGGTGACGCTCTCTCCTCCAGCAGCCTGGCAGACCCGGGTGACGCTATCTGCTCCACCAGCCTGGCAGACCGGGTTGACACTCTCTCCTCCAGCAGCCTGGCAGACCCGGGTGGACACTCTCTCCTCCAGCAGCCTGGCAGACCCGGGTGACGCTCTCTCATCCAGCAACCTGGCGGACCCGGGTGACGCTATCTGCTCCAGCAGTCCGCAGCCCCGGGTGACGCTATCTGCTCCACCAGCCTGGCAGACCCGGGTGACACTCTCTCCTCCAGCAGCCTGGCAGACCCGGGTGACACCTCTCTCCTCCAGCAGCCTGGCAGACCCGGGTGACGCTCTCTCATCCAGCAACCTGGCGGACCCGGGTGTGACGCTATCTGCTCCAGCAGTCCGGCAGCCCCGGGTGACGCTCTCTCCTGCAGCAGTCCGGCAGCCTCGGGTGGTGCTCTTCTCCTCCAGCAATTCAGCATACTCGGGTGTCAAGCTGTACTTCTCCAGCAACGGCTGACCCATCGACAGACATGTAGACCCGGGTAGCGCACAGCAGAAGACCCTGGCGCCCGCACTCTCCGTCTCCACGACCGATGTCGGGAAAACCCAGGTGCTTGCACCCTGCTTCCAGCAAGCAGTAGCAGGCCCATGCGCCAAGCTCTCTTCTTCCAGCAGTGGCGGACCTGAGCGGTCGCACTCCAGCAACGGTAGACCTGAGCGTCGCACTCAATCAGCGGCAGACCTGGGCGTCAGCAATCAAGCAGCGGCAGACCTGAGCGTCGCACTCCAGCAGCGACAGACCCTGGCGCCGTACTCCGGCAGCGGCCATCCCAGGCCCGTATCTCCAGCAGCGGCACTCAAGCTCAGCCCCCCCCCCCCCCACCCCCCAGCAGCTTGGGACTTGCTTCTGGACCAGCTCAGCCTACACAATTTGTATCACTGGTGATAATAAACTTTTCCAGAATCCGCAGGTATTTAAGAACGCCTTCGTCGTTATTGGAGCTTTACGGCGCACTCAGTTGCTGAGGCTATATGGTGTCGCCTTCCTCTCACCCTGGCAGGAAGGGCGGGCACTGCGGGGAAACCTCGTACCTTGGTTTCCCAGACGCGCAGTGGTTAACACGGACGCGTCAACGTTAATAACTTGTTCATCACGTCCTTACACGGCCCAACCCCTCAAACTCTTGTTTGAAAATCGTTGAAAATAAAGTAGTCACTAGATTATTGACTTATTTTTGGGTCGTTCCTTTTAAGAGGGGCTTTTCTAAGCCCCGACACTAGTGACAACCCTCTGGTGTAACTGTGCAGCCTCCGTTGACAAACATTTTTACTGAAGGCAAATACCTATTGTTGTGAGCACGAGACAACGTCGTGTCATCACTCAAGATAAAAACTCTAACCAGCCATTGTGGTTAGAGGACTTGTGTCTGTGCAGCAGCACAGTCATGACACATGCTCCAGCCAGTGGCTTCAAACCTCGCTAAGGCGCATGACCGGTGCACGGTAGACTGTGGAGAGGACAGAGCGGAGAGGGGCAGACTCAAGACGTGCTGGCTCCAGCCAGTGGCTTCGGACCCCCGCCTGATCCGGTGCACGGCAAACTGTGGAGAGAGCAGAGCGGAGAGGGGCAGACTCAAGACGTGCCGACTCCAGCACTGGTGACGCCACCCCCGGCCAACGCAGGCCCCGATCAGACTGTGGGAGAGCCGAGAGGACAGCGGCAGACTCAAGAGGCGCCGACCGGCCGCCCCCGCCCCAGCGGAGGAGCCAGCGCGAGTGGCGGGCGCGGCGGCGGCCCGTCAGCAGCCAGCTGGGCACCTGTTCCGCCGTGATGCTCCTGCGGCCCCGGCCCCTCCTGGATAGTCGGCTCCAGGGGAGTCTTAACGTGGCCGGTCGGGTAGCGCACCGACCTGAGCGACTGAAATGCCAACGGCCGCGCTCGGTCACGCCAGCAGAACAGACACACACACACACACCACACACACACACACATACTGCTCATTTTCCTCGGCTGGCACACTTGCGCGCTCATGCGGACGTGCGAGGAAGCATAAGCATTTACAAACCTAGCGGCAAACATAATCAGCCTGCGTTCCCCACCTACCATCATACACAGCCACTACGTACGAGACGGAAAATGAGTGGCACTCGACAGGCAACGGATAAATGACACCGAGCGTCTGACCATGGGCGCGAACCCGCCGCGCTCTCAGCGCCGGCCACCACCCACCCTGTTCTGCTCGTCCTCCCAGCTGAGCTTCTTCACGCGCTTGGGGATGCTGCCCTCGGGCCAGCCGGCGACCGACCCGGCCGGCTTGAAGGTGGAGCTGGCGCTGGACTGGAGCGAGCGCTGCGAGCCGCGCGCTGCCGCCGGCTGGCGCGCCAGCGTGCCGGCCGAGCCTAGGTCGCCGCCGTTGGCCAATGGGTTACGCAGGCTGCCGTTGGCGGCGGCGCCGCGCGCGAACCGCCGGCTGCCGCGGGAGACGGTGGCTGTCGTGCCCAGCGACCCTGCGGCGGGACGGCGGGCGATCATCGTTCGCCCGGGGACTGACCGCCAGCCGGCAGCGCCGGCGGCTGGTGGCAACGGGGACGAACCAGTTATCAGCTTTCTCGTGATCGGGAGAACCGATTATCAACGAACCCGATGACTGCAGTATGAGTCGGCATCTGCGTCTCTCTGGTGGGGATAACTACTTGATCAGTGGTAGTGATAAGCGGGAGATGCAAATAAAAATCAGTCAACAACAAAAATAAGTTATCAGCCTCCTGCCACGGAATTACAAACCGATTACACCAATGCTTCTGAGGTGTGTCCATCGACGGGATTAGCCGCCATGTGGCGGAGAAATACGGGTTAATCTTTAGCCACCCGGACACAGCAGTCATCAACTTAATGAACAAACGTACACCTGCACGAGATCATCTCTGCCCAACCCGTGAAAAAGGATTGCCGAAATATCGGTGTTCCTGAGGTGGGAGACGGGCCCTAGCCCTCAGTTCCCAGGCTCTCAGCCTCCGCACGCGATGGTCAGCACAACAGCGTCGTAGTTTATCACGCCAGCTACAGCGACCAGATCCGTCGATACAAGGCGGGCCTTCAGCCCCGCGCCGGGCGATGGCCACCCTCCGCTGCCGACCCGCCGACCCCACCGCGACACCTGCCGCGCGCGCCCGGCTCCCCGGCGGCGTACGGTCGACGTTGAGCGTGTCGAGATCGACCACCAGCGAGCCGAGGTGGGAGGCGCGCGGCGAGCCCGGCCCGCTGCCGGCCTCCAGCTTCTCGTGCGGGATCGAGTTGTTGACGTAGCTGGCCACCTTGGCGCCCAGCGCCGGCGAGGTGCGCCTTGTCCGCGCCCGGTCCTTTTTGCTGCGGCCAGAGACGGCGGCGGGTGAGCGCGGTGCGGGGGACCCGCAGCCATACCTCCGCTGCCGGCGGCAATGCTGCTCACCCCGGGCACGGACACAGGTGGGTCCGTTATTCCCCCGGCAGCACGGGTGGCCGCAACGGAAAGAGGATGCGGACTTAGACGGGCAGTGAAACGTAGACGCAAAAACATTGCTACCACTACTGCCAATCTGATACTCTGCAGAAGTCGTGCGCCTCTCTGAACCGGAACTGCGTCTGGTTCGTTACCACCCATATGGCACGTTGTTCGATGCTCGCTTACTAAAAGTCAGCTACTTACTATGTACATACGTAGGGTCCAGGATCACGATAAACCAGTTCAAGTACTACTATTTACATATGTAGAGGGCCAAGGTCACAATAACCAGTATCAGCACGCCCAGGAGCACCCCCGAAGATAATCATCAAGAGGAGAGAGCTCTCGGCCCTCGTGCTCGGGCCCAGAAGCTCCTGCGGAAACCGCACGGTAACCGGCACCGAGGACTGAAACAGAAGAGGACGCGTCTGGTGTCAGTCCCGGCAGCGGTTGACGCCCCCGCGGGGGTCGCCGCGAGGTCACCGGCCACCGAGGACTGAAACAGAGGGCGCGTCTGGTGTCAGTCCGGCAGCGGTGACGCCCCGCGGGGGTCGCCGCAAGGTTAGTAGCGTCACTTGTGCAAGCGCGGGGCTACTTAACGCCACGCGCGCCGTAAATACCGCGGGGCATGAATAGGAGCACACTCACTGAGCTTGTATATTGAAATGCCGAACCATTTGCATCAGCTGGTTCCTTAACGCTACACGCGCGCTGCAAATACCCGGGGACTTGAACGGGAATCCACTTACCGAGCGCGTATATTAAAATTTCGAACCATTTGAGCATGACTGCCGGCAAACATCGCACAAACGTGGTGCAAGCGTCTTATATGAAGTATAGACTGCTGCCAACTGTCGTGCTGGGCTGGACTTCACCAGCTCAGACTGCTGCCAACTGTCGTGCTGGGCTGGACTTCACCAGCTCAGACTGTTGCCAACTGTCGTGCTGGGCTGGACTTCACCAGCGCAAACTGTTGCCAACTGTCGTGCTGGGCTGAACTTCACCATCTCAGACACGGTTTTTGGCAGCGCGTTTGCCTACATACGAGTAGCTCTCCGATGCAGAGCCGTGCTGGTGAGGATCTTGGGTCAGGTTGAGCAGGCAAAGTGCTTGTACGCAAAGATACATGGTTAAAGGAAATCCTCCCAAGTTGGGGGAGCTCACGCCATTTTAGAGCACTTCTTTCCAGTCCACGCTGATAAGGTCAATGCTAACTCTTCAGAAATTGGGAAGGGGGGGGGGGAGCTCACCTCTCTGGTCTCCCAGTTCTTGCACCAGTGCAAAGGTAAGAGGCCTGCACCTTGAATCAGGGAAAACTTGCCTCACCTTTACCACATCTTGTAAGCCTTGAGGCAACGGGTGTCCATTTATATCCTCTGGGGGGGGGGGAGGGGTGTCACTGCCCCTCCTCCAATGTCCAAGTTGGCCCACCCAATATTGACTTCTTCCAACCTTCTGGCTCTATTCAGAAAATTAAAAATGTGAGCTGATAATTACATCATCTTTAAGGAAGGTCTAAATAAATGTTTGACCGATTAAAAGGGACCAAAACAAATTAAAACCGCGAAAACTCGGCCAACTGAGCGCAGCTAACTGAGCTAGCCATACTTTTTATAGCAATGAGCTCGTAACGCATTTTCTGTTTCTGCTGCATGCTACATGTTTTTAATTGCATGATGCACATGCCTTGTTCACTTCGGTCTGGTTCTGTGTTATTGTCTGCGTGTTTTGCGATTCTTAAGCAATGTTTTAGCTTCTACGAGACGCAACAAGTTTTATTATTCTGCCACGACTTACCGGATGATTCAAACAAACCGGTCGAATATTAACACCCGCACACCTGGCAAATTCGCTAGCCATCTGCTTTCGCAAGAACCATTACCGACTAGACTCGACCAAGAGCCGACAGCCGAGTACAGCCGACAGCCGGCTGACCCGATAGCGGTTATCATCCGACAATGACCACCAAAACAACACTACCTTTGTCGGGCATGCCTGACGTGGGTGCTTCCACGCTGCCTGCAGCCCGCCGTGCGGCTGCCGGCTGGAGATTTCAGAGACTCTCTACTCCCGAAGCCGTACACATCCAGCAACGTCTGAAAACCTATGCCATCCACCCCACGTATATAACCGAAACCTGGTATCAATCATCAACGCCCAGGAAAACGACAACGATGCCGATGACATCTCTCGCCGAGACAGAACAAGGCAACATGTTGGAGCAGGAGTGTAGTTTTTAATTGGAGGACTCTAACTCGCTAACTTTGTAAGAAAAATGGGTGATATCCGACGAGTGTCTTATTCTTAGTGCAGCTAGGGGAAGGCTTAGTCATTTTTCCTACTCAGCAGCCTCCCTCACGCGAAACTGGACCCCTGTGAGGGAGGCTCACTGGCTGTGACACGTGACGGATTCGCTACCACATTACTTTAACGCCCAGCCACAGCCCAGCTCCAGAATGGAAGGCGTCTGAGTCCAGAACCAGGTGGATCAAAATCGATGTAAGGTGATCGGCAGCTTACACCAACTGCGTGGCAACACCACAGTTTCAACACCGCAGTTCAACACCACGTTCAACACCACAGTTCAATACTACAGTTCAGCACCACAGTTTCAACACCACAGTTCAACACCGCAGTTCAACACACAGTTCAACACCGCGGTTTAACACCACAGTTCAACGCCCACAGTTCAACACCACAATTCAACACCACAGTTCAACACCACAGTTCAACACTACAGTTTCAACACCGCAGTTCAACACCACAGTTCAACACCGCAGTTCAATACCACAGTTCAACGCCGCAGTTCAACACCACAGTTCAACGCTACAGTTCAACACCACGGTTCAACACCACAGTTCAACACCACAGTTCAACACTACAGTTCAACACCGCAGTTCAACACCACAGTTCACCACCACAGTTCAACACTACAGTCCATCACCACAGTTCAACACCACAGTTCAACACCGCAGTTCAATACCACAGTTGAACACCACAGTTCAACACCACAGTTCAACACCACAGTTCAACACCACAGTTCAACACCACAGTTCAACACCGCAGTTTAACACCACCAGTTCAACACCGCAGTTCAACACCACAGCTCAACACTACAGTTCAACACCACAGTTCAACACCGCAGTTCAACACCGTAGTTCAGCACCACAGTTCAACACCACAGTTCAACACCACAGTTGAACACCGCGGTCCAACAACGCAGTTCAACACCACAGTTCAACACCGCAGTTCAACACCACAGCTCAACACCGCAGTTCAACACCACAGTTCAACACCGCAGTTCAACACCACAGTTCAACACCACAGTTCAACACCACAGTTTTCGACGATTTCCACCGCATTGAAGAGCAATTACAAACTGAATCGGGTTCTCACGCTGCACATTGCACAAAGCGAGATACTCACTGAAAAAATTGAGATCAGCAGAAGTGCAGTTTTGGATTACAAAACTGCGTTTCTACTACATAGACCTGAAACCAAAATTGGAAAGAAAACATTAACTTGGCATCATTCTCTAAAATGAAAACCTCAGAACATGTATCATAGAGATAATAGAGATCCACCGCCAGAAGCGAGTTTCGGGTGTATATCTTTATTTGTTTGGACCACGTCGGTGACGCGGCTGGTTATACGTCGCCAATCTTGGTGAGAGGTTTTTGGATCAAGCCTGACTTCGGTAGGGTTTTCCTCGACTGGCTCCCTCCCAGACGATGGCAGTGATTGGGGTATGACTTGTGGTCGTGATGAAAACCAGCGTCGCATGTGGTCGTGATGACATGACGTTTCATACTGTCAAGGCCCGCCCGCTAGTTTTTATGCCAACGTTACTGCATATTATCAACAGCAGTTTTGCGTCTGAGATACTGTCATGGAAGTGGGAGATATCACGCGGTGCGGCTGATTGTTGGATTTGGCCACACCAGTGAACTTCAAACTAATCCCTCTCATTCCCATACTGGCTATGTGAAAGTGTGACAGGCAGTAGTTTCAGAGTGTTTGCAGCACCCTCGTAGTGTATCCTCAGGCGGCTATGTTCAAAGGTTTAGCATTTCAAAGTACGCTTACCGAGCATGACATCGCTGTTGGGATGAAGAGGGGGAGTGCCATGTTTAGCACATCGCAAACCTGAAATGTCAGCACTTTCGATCCCTGATGTCGAAAAAGCCTCAAGGGAACAGCAGCACCGCACTGCGGTATCCAAACGGCATCGCGGGACTGAACAGCTGTCCCGACGGTGTCAGACAAGGGCGTTAGCAACAAGCGCGGTGAAGTTTCAAATTCAGAACCATGCGTGAATTCCACGCAGTGCGGTTCCGCTTGCATAATCTGCTGAGCACCTCCTACGTGTCGGTGTCCAGCCGGCAGGTTTTGACCGCGGCGTGCGGAGCTCAGCGAGTTGAGGTCACCGCGCCATGGCCACGCGTCCCTGCAGGCTGAGGAGCAGCGATGTCCGCGGTCTGGAGCGCTCGGACCGCACACCATGGGATTCCACCGTCTGGCATCCGTCTGAGCCGGCAGCGGGGTCGTGACTTGGGACAGGATCGGTTCAGAGCTCAGCGGCGGTCCGCCGGCGGCGGCGGAAGCAGCTCCGCCAGCGGGCGCGGCCGGCCACCTCCCTCATAGGCTTCAGCCGGCGCCAGCCTTGGACTTCACAGCCCTCGGCAGCCCTGACCACGGGCTGACCCCCGGGGGCGGTGCGGAGCCGGCCGCCAGCGCAGCCCCCCGGAAGCCTACCATCGCGTGTGGTGCTCCAACTGCAGTTATTTGATGCGGATGCCGAGAGCGCACGTTCTCATTGAAATTTGACTACGACCTGCAAGGCCTGTGGCAAGTCAAGGATAGCTAGTAAGTGTAATAACTTCCCTTATTTGGAGGGCACCAAGGGATACGCATCAGTAAGCGAGCACGTCAGCGGCTGTATGACGATTTTTTTCGGTCGAGGCGATTTAATTAAATATTTCCGGCTGTTTTTCGGAAAAATTCCGGCCACAAATCTGGTGGAATTTCCATTACCCAGACGTCCAGGGATAAGTGGACTGCACTTTTTATTATCACGCATCTCAACATTCTTTTCCAAACATGGGAGCCCAGGGAGATGCATGACCAGATGTCCCATGCAGGGCTCAGCAGCCTACTGTCCTTTCTATGCACACATGCTCAGGGGCATCCCAAGCCGTAAGTGGTCAACTATGAAGCTGATGACAAACGATGGCCTTTGGCTCTTGGTTATCCAAGCTTTTGTACATTTCGAATTGGGTATCAAAGCAGGTCCTGTCTTTACAGCTAGCGTGGAAAGAGTTGTTATGTGTGGCTGGCCCAAACCCGGGAACCCTGCATTAGGACATTTATGTACTAGCAGACCACATTGCACCGAGACTATAACTTAGCTGCTTAAGAGCGACTCCCTCGCAAAGTATGGCTCCAAGTGTTGTGCCGGGTTGAGTGGCAGTTCATCACTGCCCGGTGGGCTGAGCTGATGAGTCGAAAACCTGCTTCACATGTTATCCCTCGAGTGATGAACTCCCTGGAGTCATGCGGCGTGACGGTGCTGTCGGTCAGTGCCGCGAGTCGACCTGCGCCGGCCCGACTGACCGCAGAGCAGGGAGCTGCAGGTCGAAGACGGGCCGCTGGCCGAAGGCTTCCGCGGTTTGGATGCAATGGACATCCATATGGAATGGCTAACGGACTGGGATGGTGTTTGGGGAAAATCGCAGGTATGAGTACGGTTAGGACATTTATGAAATGCCGGACGCATATCTGAGGAAACACCGCCCAATACTGCGCGTTTTATTTTCACCCACTTGACGGTCAGGTGGCGCCACGCAAAGTTTGTTCTGGGGATGCGTTATTCCTTACATGTCAGCATGAAAAGCAAAGCTTGACATGCAGCCTACCCGCAGCTAAAAGCCACGTTCGTAGGCGCTCCCCCGTGCGATGTGGCTCGCCCTCCGGTCCAGGGGCTGCATGCCGGACGAAGTTCTGAACCTCTGCGGCCGACTGGCGTGGGGTGCCCTGAACAACGGTGAACTTCCGACAAGGTTCCGTCGAACTCAGCTACAACAGCCTGCAATCAAATCCAGTGCTGCACCTAATCTGGCTACCAGCGTACGAAGCAAACCTTCAGCACCAGGAGACCTGCGGTGAAATGGTGTTCATTTCATGCCAAAGCCTGCCAGCCGTTAGCGGAACTTTAAGAAGTAAAAGGATCGTCTAGGAAGGGCGTACGCACACGCTGCAAACCCGCAGCAAATCCGATGGAGCACGGGTCCGAAACGTTTTAGGAAAAAGAATCCGCCAAACAGCTGACGCCGCTTCCAAACAATATCTTTCCCATCTGACGAAATATATTGTGCGCTAACCAAGGTGTGCTTTAAAATGACCAGAACTAATGCCAGTTACATCACTTTGGACTTTAAAAGCAAACAGTGTAAATATAGATGTAAAATTGTATTGCATTTTCAACAGTTCACACCAAAGGCCTTAGACAGATGTGAACGTATGGGTGACAGATGGGTCCACTGATCAAATCTGGCCACCCAGTAGGTGTGACCGCAGCCCACGCGTAGCTAGCGAAATGACTAAGGGAAATCCCACCGGCGAATACCTCTGCCGGCGGGAAGTTGGGCGCAGCTGGCCGCCACGTCACGGCCAGACGGACCGCGGCGCCGGCGGCGGCACCGCGGGCGGCTGGCGCGTGTCCGTCCCACCCGCCGCTCCAGCCGGCGCGCCTGGCCTGGCGGCGCCGTTCGGGGAACAGCACGAGACGCTTCCGTTCTCACGGAGCTGACCACTGCCGGCCGCGAACTACAGACGCGCGAGATAAGCAGCGCGTGTGTCCAAACAGTGCCAGAGTCCGCCCAGACGGCCGGAAGCGGATGACCGTGTGCACGATTCGTAGATGCAGTGACGAATGCTCACGTGTGAACTGTTTTTTTCGGCATTTCTGACCAGTTAAGGTTCGTGGTATGAAATATGCAGGCAAGCGAGAGGGTAGCTGATACTGAAGCCAACTTGCCTTCACCCAGGCGTCGAGCATGGATGGCTGGCTCTTCATCTAGTAAACCGGGTCTCACGACACTCGAGGGAACTGGGAGCCAAAATGACTCGGGGCCCGAGACCTTTGAGTACAGGCAGCAATTCAATCCCATTGCAGTGATGCCTTTACACACACAGGATTGTACGACGAAAGAATAGATGTGAGTGAATATTGGCAGGAACCGATGACCTCTGAAATCTCGGAACGGGGTCGGAAGCCGCGCCGAAGCGCTAGACAACTTCGGAGCACACATCGCACTGGACTCTCGACAACTTCGGAGCACACGCCGCGCCGGGCTCTCGACAACTTCGGAGCACACGCCGCACCGGGCTTTCAACAACTTCGGAGTACACGCCGCATTTGGCCCTAATAATCCTTACCTCGGTGCGTAACGCCGTGCACGTTTCTAAAGACCCAAACTTAGTCTGCATGTCGTGACCGTCCAGCCAAAGGTACAGAAAGCCAGCCACTAGAGCCCGTCTCACAGTAGGAGCATTAACCGGCATGGATCCCGTCAGCTATGAGCTGACGCTACGGCGCGGGCCGGCGCCGGCACCGCCCCCTGCCGGCGCCGGCGAGCGCCGCCGCTGCGGTACGTACCCGTCGAGGAGGCACCCCGCTGTCTCTGGCCACGGCCACCAGGTGCGCCACGGACGAGTTCAGCACGCTCAGGTCGCGAATGACGAGGTCACCCTCTTTTGACACGGAGAAAGCTCTGCCGAGAGATCAACCCTCGTGACCGGTCGATAAGACGAAAGTGACGTTTGAGAATACAGCTTCAGGAAATGTAGGTTGACAAGCGCGTCGGCACTGTTTGTTTGCGTTCATGAAGCTTAACAGTACTTTAACACAGGACATTGTATCGGTGGGAACAGCGTGAAAGTTTCAGGAAGGTTTTATGCTGAACAGACTGCTCTGCGCGTTAAAATGACTGCATGGGATCGATAAACCGGAATGATTTCACCTAACCAGCGCAAGAACAAACGTAGACGTTAATCAAGTCCGTACATACAAGAAAACAAACAAATAAAAACAGTACACCAGGACATCTGCACCGCGAAATCAGCCTCCCGTATCAAGTTCAACTCAATGCGCCCCTTCCGGACATTAAGAACGTGGAAAACGTTGTGAAGATAGTGCGAAAGGGGTCCTAGTAAGTGAACCACCCCTCCAAGTGCCACCATCAATGAGGCAAATATACGTTCTACCACCCCACCAGAGCTGGAAGGCAGCATTTAGTATCGCTTGATTGCCTTGACCCGGGGGTTATATTTCCACAAACTAGGCAGGGGGCTGGATTAGAAAACGGATAGACCTGCCCCGAAGTAGGCCAAAACAGGCTTCTCCCCACATTCGGGCACAGTTCTTCTCAGTGTTACTTGGGGTGGGTGGGGCTAGAACCCTTTCCAGCTGAATAGGGAGACTCCAACCTGACGCCGTGGGCTGACCCCCTGCGGCAGGGCTGAGCCCGTCTGAGGTTAAGGCAGCATCACCGGGCCTGGCGCGAGCTGCGGCCCGCGCACCTCAGTCCCCTCTGACCGGGTGGTGTTGACGGGGACCCGGGCCGGGTCACCGCCTGACCGGGGCGGACTGGGGTGGCCGCTGCTCTCCGCGTGAGATGCCACGTGCAAGAAACACGGCCGTGAACAGAAGCCGCGCCGTGCTCTGGTGGCTGGCTGTGAGTCCGACGTCTTGAATAAGACCGCACTGCACCGTCATATAACGAACAACAAATACAGATGAAATGGGCGCGACCGAAGCCCGTGGACGCCAGTGCATGTGATGAGTTGCCCCAACCGGTGCTTCCTTGAAGACGGTTCACGGCTTTTAGCGAGCGAAGCCAAGATGTATCAGAACAGCCGTCCCGTCCCACGTCCCGTCCCGTCCCGTCCCGTCCCGTCCCGTCCCGTCCCGTCCCGTCCCGTCCCGTCCCGTCCCGTCCCGTCCCGTCCCGTCCCGTCCCGTCCCTCACCTGGCGTCCTGCCCCATCAGCCCGAGCGAGACGCGATCGCCGCGGTCGCCGTCGTAAACCGTCAGTCGGCCCACCACGTCACTGGGACGCGAGCTCGGCGACGCCACGAAGTCGAAGCTCGGATGGCGGAAGCGCGGGTCCCAGTCGTTTACGTTCAGCACGATGATGGTCACCATCGCCGTGTCGTTCTGGTGACGGCGGCGGAGAGGGGTCACAGCGGCATGGCAAACAACACGGGGCGGCGGGCGACACGGGACGGCAGGACGACCGGGCACAGACGGCTACTCTGCGTCTTGTGCCGGCTGCAGTCCGGGCAGTCCAAGTCACGCGATGGTGACTGGGAGCCGCGGACGTTCATAAGGTCGCCGGAGCATCTCTGCGCATACGTCCTGAGCACTTGCCCAGGAAACGACAATCGAGGCTGTTGAACAAACGGTTCATTGTCTAAAGAAGGAACATCAATGTCTTCAGATTGGTGCTATAAGATGAAATGCACGCCGAGCAAACGACATTGCCGCTCGGTCCCCATGCGTTGTCCATGGACAAGAGATCGGAAGAAAGGCGCACTGACCTGCCTGCCATCTGTTGCCACGACGGAGAAGTTGAGTCTGTCTTGCGTCTCGTAATCCAACGAATCGACCAGGGCTAAGTCTCCATTTCTCATGATGGTGAACTGGCTCGGTTCATCAGGCAGGAAGAAACGAACTCGCTGCAGCCGAAGTTGACGACGTTAACAACAGCCCGCCAGATCATACGTGTATGATCAATGACCAGTACAGATCTCACTATGGAGTTCCAAAGCTTAAAACACTTCGCATTTTTGCAACGAACATCCCAGCCGAAAACGCCATCAGCCGGTGACACGGGCGTCAAAAGGGCGAGTGCGCCACCTGCTAGCAAAAGGCAAACCCCCGCCATCTCCCTTTCGGCGACGTCAGCACTCACGCTGTCGCCCGGCCGGTTGGTGATGACGGTGAGGATGACAGAGTTGACCGGCCGGTTCTCCAGCACGCTGGCCACGTAGTTGCCCTGCACGAACTGCAGCTCGTCCGTGAACACGCCCTCGCGGCGCACCGTCAGCGTCGTCAGCGCGTACCGGTCACCGTTGTCCTGCTGCGTCGCCTGCCGCCGCGCCGCAGCGTCAGCGACCACAGCGCGCTCCGAACAGGACTGCAGGGGGCTGGCAGTGGTCACAGGACTCTCTGATCAGGGCCGTGACAGTGGCGGCGCGCGAGCAGGCAGGGCGCTGCTGGCGTGGGATGGCCGCTGTACTACCGTGTGGTCAGCTGTTTACATCTCTCCTCATCTCCATAGCTGCGGTCCATGCAGACCAAAGGAGCTGGCTTGAAATGAGCGCCATATGACCAGGGTGTTCGGTGTGCGCTGAAGTCCAAATAATCATCATCTGTGCCAGCTGGCTTGAAAAGCACGCAGACCCACCCATGGCTACACCCTGTTGGACAGCAGGGCCATGCATTTCCGCTGGGTGAGCAAGTCTGAACGCCCATAGGCATCTCGGCAACGGACGGTGGGGATATTCGCCTCGTGAAGCTCCCGTAACATTGAACAAGGCGTTAGCTTGAGATGGAGCCAAGCGAGCCCCTTTTTACGTGAAACGGCCCTATATCAAACCCGGTGTGAATCGGCCCTATATCAAACCCGGTGTGAATCTACCCTATATCAAACCCGGTGTGAAGCGACTCTTTATCAAACCCGGTGTGAATCGATTTTCGCGGCTAAGTCGTTGTCTCCGCCGGTTAAGCGAACCGCACACGGTTACCTTGACGACCAGTGTGATCGGCTGCAGCAGCTCCGAGTCCGGAATCGTCTCGGCGATCGTGATGTCTCCCGTCTCCGGATCGATGGCGAAATAGCGCGAGTCGGCGCCGTCTGCCGGCACGGGATTGTGACGTCAGCGTCAGGGACACCGGACTGCGCGGTCCGGGCCGTATAACGCCCCCGCAGTCACCACGGTGACGCGACCAGACACAGCGGAGATCTGGCGCAGCTGCGGGTTACCATGGCAACGTCCAGGATCGGGACCGCGGACATAGAACGCAGCATGGTAGAGGAAACCAGCAGACGTTAAAGTCAGCTGAGCGTGTGGATCGGTCGCGACACAAAGCCCTTTGACAAGCACTCAGGTCCGCTGAGATAATGGGGATGATGTCCAGATGGTGGAAAAATAATCCGATAAATGCTAATGAGCTTAGCTTGGTTGTATTAGTAATTCTGCACGGATGCAGCTCAAACGCATAGCGCAGCGGGGTGGTTTCCGTTACAACAGGGCCTTCAACACGTTAACTATGGGGAGGGCCCGCACTCGGCCAAATCCCTATCCCGCTGCTCTGATTTCCCACTCCCATTTACACCCGTTCTAATCCTGATCTGGCCCCGCTTTAGCTCCGTGATATATCGCAGCCAATCCGCTCATCTCTTTGACCATTTTTTCATCTGACAAAAAAAGGCTTACATCTGAGGACAAACGATTTTCGGGGTGGATTAGGTGAATTCATATCTGGGACTGGTCAGTTCCTTTGGATCCTCCCCTCTCCCTCCACATAATTTAATTTCTTAAAAGAGGCCCTGGTTCGCCACTATTATACATGGGGTTGCGGGGTGGCTGCACGCAGCACGATGACAATGTCGTGATTGGTTGCCGGAATATCTTCCAGCAACCGCAGCGTGACCCTCTCTGACCTGCGGTGAACGTATAGGCGACAGGAGCGTTGATGCCGATGTCCTGGTCAAACGCTCGCACTCGCCGGGGCCGTATGGTGAGGGTGTTGCCCTAGAACACAGGCAGACACGTTAATCAGGCCTTTAAACGGGTGCAGTGGCCTGACAAACTGGCTCCAGTCATGAGCACATAATACACGACATTGCGGCGGATAAATGATAATTTCCGGGGTGCGGAAGGCTAACTCCGTGTGACTGAACGGCCGCATATCCTGCCAAACCGTCTTGGATGAGATGGATAACATTAGGGCTGTCTGATCTTCCCGTAATCCCGCCCTTCGAAACACAGAAGATCAAGCACCTGGCCGACAATCTGGCCCTCGGCATTTGAGGGAGCGTCCTCCAGCTTGCAGCACCACCTGGCGGCGCCCGACGACTTCCGGCATCGCGGCGGCGCGCCCGCCCTAACCTGGACTGGTCGCCGAGGCAGTGTCGTGACGTAGCGGTCGTCGTAAAAGCGTGGGTTCTGGTCGTCCGCGTCGATGACATTGACGGTCAGCACGGCCTCGGTCGACTTGACGGGGTCACCCTGGTCCTGCAGTGGCACGGTCAGCTCGCAGTTAGCCCCAACAGAGGCCACCAGGAAAAAGGATTCGGGTTTTAGTTTGGAATGTTCGTAAAGGACCGTTGGCTCGGCAACGTCGTTAGCCCGACCTGACAGACATATGAGGAATTAAGATGCCGGAATTTCACCTATCTGGACTGAGGAATTCAGCAAGTCGCATGGCACCGAAGAGGATTTCCATGTTCCACAAGAAACAAGGCCCTTCACGCTATAATTACAGCGCAGTAGCACTTCATTGCTTCGGGTTCACAACAACGCAGTTCTAAAACGCTGATCGCCGTCCACGAAAGTGCAACCGCCGACACTGGTGGTGAACTAGGTGAACCGTGAACACTGCGAGTCGCCAGCCCAATGCCAGACCTGGCCCAGACACCTCACGCAGCACCGCCACCCCAAGCCCGCAGCGCCGGACGAGGTCTCCTGCTCGCCCTTACCTCGGCACGCAGCGTGAGCCGGAACTGCTGCACCTTCTCGAAGTCCAACTGCTGCTTCAGCCGCAGCGTGCCGTCCAGACCGTTGGCGAAGTCGATGTACTCCTGCGCAGGGAAGCAGGCGCACGCATATAAGACGCGAGTCAGGCGCGCAGCCGCTCCGCGGTTGTTACGGCCGCCGTGGCTGGTTGTTGCCGGGTTTTCCATCCATTATCTGCTTATTTTCAGCTACCGGTGCAGCTGTTGTCAGAGCTAACAACGTTCAACGGCAGCCACTCGTTAGAGTGGATTTGCCGGGATATTCTAATTCAATTTCGCTAGAATTCACTAGCTCAGGCATCACACAGCTGTGGCAGTTCGCGCCCAGAAGCGTCCTCCGTCAGCAACATACCGCGTCATAAACAAACGACAGGCGTCTTACCGTCCCAAACACCGGCATATTACCGTTATGCCCTTGGAAGTCCAACCTAGCACGAGAGTCCCACAATGGGGCTGACCTTGAGTCACAGATGCATGTTTGCAACTCCGTCGGTGTCACCCCGCCCCCCGCCCCTCCTCGCACCCCTCGGACACTCCCCCGGTCACGATACGCGGTCTCAGACGCATCTACCGCAGTGACAGATTGTCCCCGACAGCGCCTCCCCCGGGCGAGGACCAGCGCCGACAAGACGCCGCAGTGCGCCGTTTACCCCGCCAGGCGCTCGGTACTGCGTGGTCGGACTGCCGTCCTAATGATGATCTATGGCGGGGCGCTCGGTCCCGCCAGGCACGGGGCAGTCGTCAGGGGTGACCCCACCCACGCACAGCCGGTCGTTACCCACAGCAGTCGTCACCACCAACAGAGCGGAGCTCTGTCGATCAGGGCATACGGGGGATGGGTCATGTCTTATTTGAAAATGCTGCAGGCCGCAAACACGGCCTCCGCTTTAGTTTGCAGTGCTCAGGACGGAAAGGGCGAGTTGTACGGTGCACTTGCGCCGGTGCGTCAGGTGTGTACCGTCTAACGCAAACGATGTGATCCGTAGTATGTGGAGCAGGACCCCATCACCCGATCCTCATTCCCGAATCGTACGCCACGCCGGGGCGTCCCGGCCGTGCTCAGCAGGGTCATGCCCCGCGGTAACCGATACGAGCGGCCGCAGCCCTGATCATACGACTGTGGCGGGAGTCTCAGGGGAGGGACTGGACCACAGTGTGGCAGGCCGCGGGCGGCCGCAGCCCCCGATCATACGACTGTGGCGGGAGTCTCAGGGGAGGGACTGGACCACAGTGTGGCAGGCCGCGGGCGGCCGCAGCCCCTGACCACACGACTGTGGCGGGAGTCTCAGGGGAGGGACTGGACCACAGTGTGGCAGGCCGCGGGCGGCCGCAGCCCCTGACCATACGACTGTCGCAGGAGCCTCAGGGGAGGGACTGGGCCACAGTGTGGCAGGCCGGCACGTAAGGGTGACATTGCCACCCAGCCGCACCAGCACACCGCCGACTCAGCGGATGACGAGCGCGGCGGCGGCTGAGCGGCCGCGACAGACACCAGCGCCACCCATTGGCAGGCCGGCGGCTGGTCTCAGGCCGCCGACCGAGCGGAGCCGGCTGGAGCAGGGCGGACGCGGCCGCCCGCACGTCTGGCTGCAGCGGGTCCGCAAACGTCGGCAGCAAAGTCGGCGGTCACACAGCCCAGCACCGTCCTTGGCACCTCCTCAAGCGCCTGGCTGCTGCGGCCCCAGAAATCTCGGCAGCAGACGCGTCGATAACATCGAATAACTATGGCCGCGGCGACAAACCGAAACAGGCCACTCAAGGTTGATTTGATCGAACGTCACATGTCTCACGTGGATGCGTGCATCCGGTTCATCAATTTCAACAACACCCACTTATCCTTTAAACTCAGTGGCCAGACAAGTGTTGACATCTCGATAAAACAAACCTGGCCAGATTATCCATGCACTTTCACAAAACACCGTCCACAGGAAGCTGGCAAAGTGATATTGCACTGAAGCACGGATGTTCGCTGCTCGCTTGTACACAACAGCAGTATGTCCATTGTGCTGGCTTATTCGACTGGCGTAAAAAACACGCATGCCAGTGTTACTGGCCCATCACTCAAGGGACAGCTGTGACCAGCTGTATTACTTGGCCTGGGATGATGTGATGTCAAAGATGGACAGCTCACCAGTTAGAAAAATCACGTTGGTTCTTGATCATGGAATCTCCCAGGAGAGACGGGCGACGGATGTACGCACTCAGCATCCAAGCATATTCACAAACCGAGTTGCGTAGTATTGACTTGCGGTATGCCTGCCCCCTTATACGGCCGGGATCGGTGAGGCTGCGTTATTTCACGTTTTCGTTCCTAGTAAAATAGTTTTTGCACAAAACCCACCATTTTGTTGGTGCAATGATCAAAGGTAACCGGTAAAATGTAGTAGATCATGAAAATAAACGTGGTAACGATCGTTATTTCCACGATCCGAACCTTTCCACAACCAAGTTTGAAATTGCGGAAACGGCGGCTGTGCAATCGATCTCTGGCTACCGTACCGATCTGGCAGTTCCGATCTGGTTAGGCGGTCAGTAAACAGCATTTACATTGCTCACACCATGCAGCTCGTTTCAAATATTTACCTGTTCTGGTTATCAGCATCCGGCGTTAATAAAACAATGCCAAAGTCGGGTACCTTCCGGGTGCACCTGAGCGCGCTTGACCTGTTGCACGGGGTCACGCCTATGTATCGTCACTGCGATCGCACTCTTTCCTGGGTAAAATCGTGCTGCTCTCCTGTCGCTGCTGCAAACGCCACGTGCCGTTCTCCTGCCGCTGCCACGGTATGCCTGCACCAAACGCCACGACATTCCCGTTGTCGAGAGCTGAGCCTAGTTTCGACCCGAGTTTGAAGAGTTTTCACAGTTGTCCGCTTCTTTACCATGTTTATCGGACACAAAGCAATTCTGAATGAAAACCGCGTCAGATTCAACGACTCGCACGCAATGGTTGTGGAAATCAGACAGCAAAACTTCCGATCACCCTGTCAAGAGCGGACGGCCGGACCGGACCGGGCTGGAGCAGGTCACTCCAGCTGGAATAAGTCACTCGCGGGTCCACCTTCAGTCCCCGTGACCACCTCCACAGCGGGCGTCATGGATAACACCATGCATGCAGAGCTGGCAGTGGGAACCATCCCATGCCCTTCAACATGTTGATGCCATTGAAACAAGCGATTGCGATCCGAAACAGGACCACCACGGCCACGATGGTGTGTTAATTCGCGCCCGTTCCCACACTGAGCTGCATCGCTCACATCACAGTCCAGCGTCAGGATAAAATGCGCCGGCAGCACACCAGCAGCGGCGACATGCGCCGTTAATCACGAAACGCAAAAACTTGTCTGCAAAGAGATGACGCGATGGCCTCGAAAACTGTGACGAGACTAGGCCGAAACACTCTGGACCGAACGTCACGCGGCCTTACCGGCGACGATGACTCAATGCCTGTGACCCGGTGTTTCGGCAATGGCCTCATCCTGCGCGGGGTGACGTGCACGCCTCGGGTGACGCGGCCATCACCGAGCGTGACACGGGCGCCACAAAGGGGTACACGGCTGCGTGGCTGAGTCAGCCCTGGCCGTGCCCAGCGGAGCTCGGCTATCCCGCTCCCTGCCGGCGAGCCTCTGGCCTCGCCCGCCCGCCGCGCCGTCTGCCAGGCGCCGACGCGGTCCGGAGGCGCCGGCCCCGCGCCGCCGCAGGGAGATGGCAGGCAGCCATGGGTGAAGGATGAGGTAGGATCGTTCTGTCAGCGGCCCCACTAGCTTCCACTGAAATGTTCGAGATTTTATAACTTTCCCATTGGAAGTCGCACATGGCCGTTATGATGGCTTTGCCACACCAACTCTTGTCACCATTTTTCAGCACTGCTCGCAACACCACAGCGCAGCACGCACGCCAGAGCGCGGGCGAGCTCGCGGCCGCGCTCGAAGCCCAGCCGCGGCGACAGCGTCACTGCTGGGCTGCCGGGCGGCCGCCGCCCACACTCACCGCGTAGTTGCCCTCGATGACGGAGTAGTGGACGGTGGAGAAGGGACCCTGCTGGTCGGCGTCCACAGCCTTGATGCCCTGCAGGACCACAGTGCCGGGCACGGTCACCTGCGGACGACGCAGTCGACAGGTCAGGCGACGGTGCGCACGGCACGGCGGCGCCGCTGAGGAACAGCCGCCATTCGCTGCCGACAGCAGCGGGTCTCCGTCAGGATCAGCTGTGCCGCAACGCTCCACTGCAGGCCGGGTCGGGATCTGGGGCGCCCACATAGGCAGGACTGAGCCATGAATGGCACATCGAACAAACGGTCGATCGACAGAGCAGAGAAACACTGCGACCATCCGGATACCCCAATGTACGGCAGTACTGGGTCCAGCGAGTTGGTGACAGTTCGTATTAGCAATTCTGCAATGCAAAACCGCGCCGCGAGTTAACGTAGCAACACACCCAGCACCGTGCGGCCGGCGCCGCCGGGACCCCGCCCCAGGTCCTGCCTGAGCCCGCGTAAGACCCCCCCCCCCCCCCCGGCGGGATGTCGGCTCGGCTGACGCCGCGAACGGCGCGTCCGGGTTGTCTCGACGCGCTCGTCCCGTTTCCGCGGCGGCACAAAGCCGGCCGCCGGACGTCGCTGACGGCCCGCGCTCGCGCCATTCCCACGGCCCTCGCGTGGCGCGTGCGCGGCTGGCTGTCGGCGCCGCCGGCCGGCAGGTGCCGGGCGACGCAAGGCCGCGCCGCGAGCGCCGCACCTGCCGCCGGCCCTCCCCTCCACAGGACGTGACGTCAGGTGGGGAACACAGCCGGCGCGGAACTGGAGGCCCGGCCGGGGCGGCGGTCACGTCCCCGCGAGCGCGGCTCGGCTCGGGCCTCGTGCTGGGGTGGCACGAGGGTGTGTTCGGTCGTCGGGGCGTTCGTGCTCGGTCCCAGGCATGGGTGCGTTCGGAGCAGGTCACGGAAGTGGGGTATTGTTTGGATGGACTTCGCGTGGCGGCCTGTTCACATTTCGGCGTTTATGATTGATATTCAGCGCAACAGACGAGCAAAGGGGCATGCAATGCAACCATGTCATCATGGAGGAGACGTCCGGGATTGCTGGGTAGTAACAAAGGAAACATCAAACTCAGTTCGTAAATGGGACGTTGGTGTCGATGAGAATTACCCAGAGGCAGGACGTGTGAGGCGCACGCCACACAGGAATGCTGGCCGTCAAATGCACGGCTAAGTATATGTCCGCATGGAGAGCATACATTTGAAGGGATCTGTGGTAAAAGAAAGCGTACTTGCTGGCTGTCACTCTGCTCACCAAACTCACTATCATTCACAGGTCTGAAATTGCTGTTCTCCTACGAACTCAGCGCCGATTTTTGTAGGCTATGCATCACGTTAGCCTCTGAGCTCGCTGCGACCCCCTTTGTGCACGGCGCGTTCTGGTTATGTCTCGCAACTGACACTGTTACCAATGATGGCGTGGGAGAGCGATGGAAGTGTAGCATCACAATGCCTTACGGTTCCGCGGTCCGCCGGCGGCCTGGAACTAGGTGATGATTGGTCTGATGGCGCTGGCCCAGTCATCCGAGGAACGTCCGATCTCATTCTGATTGTGGTGAGTGATTTTACCATCTCTCCACGCCCGTGCCGCCTTGTATCCGCGCCTGTTGCAGGCGCTTCTTCGTGCATGCCGCCGACAGCACCGCACACATTACTCTTCGACTTGTGGCTTGATCTCGCCAGAACACCTCGTGCTTTATCTTAACCGGTGAATTGGGACGGCTCTTTTCAACCAGCGTCATCGCGGTGGGCGAGCCACTTTTACACCAATCACCCATTCACGCTACCGTTGCTGCACCCCGTCAAAACAAGCGCTGCTCCGCCCTCAACTGGGCCATCGACTTTCAACGTGTCACAAATGTGTGTGCCTCATTCGACTGCAATGCCAGCGAAACTCGACGGCGCCCTGAAGTTCAGGTTGTCGGTGACAGGTTCGCTGACCTCCGAGATGTTGAGGGTGTACGGAGCGCCAATAAACTGCGGCGCGTTGTCGTTGACGTCCTGCACGCGGATGTTCACCGGTATCTTGATGCTCTGAAAACAAACAAGACTGGCCATCAGAACACGTGAGCACGCTGGCTACGTTACACCCACGTTACAACGATACTCGGAGTTAAAACCTTAACAAAACTGTGATATGTATTATAATACACGTAGACATATACATGCATACACACATACACAAAAAGATGAGAAGATGTCGTTATTACTAAACAAATATATATATATATATATATATATATATATATATATATATATATATATATATATAATATACACGGATGCTGTCCTCGAACACTCACTTTTACGCTACCATACGGTGCAGCGTCAAAACACAATTCTACCAGAAAAGGGTATAATTTCTTATTTAGTTCGAGTGACTCCAGAGCACAACGCCAAAATTTGAGAAAAAGTGGGTGAAATTCGAGGAGAAAATCGTTTCCTGGCGTAAATTTTGGAGTACCTTTCGCCGTGTTTTGCGACTGTTCAGCTCCCCGAACTCATTTTACAAATCTACGCCGCTGCTTCAAGACATCAAATAAGTGAAAGGTACCTGAACAAAGAATGCACAGCACGTTACTGCTCTGCATAGGGTTCAAATCCAGCCGGTGACCGCCAGCCGCTGCTGGTCGCACGGTCGGGCGGCCGCGACGTTTGGCGTGTCTGTTTGCACGTGTGGCATGGCTGCGCGCCGCGTGTGTTTCGTGCGGGGGCGGCGCGTGCCACGTCTCGGCGGGCTGTTCCGGCCGACTGCCGGCCGCCGCCGCCGCCGCCGCCGCCGCCGCCGCCAGCGACGGCCGTCTGTCACAGGGCTTGACTCGGCGAACAATGACCTGCACGGCCGCTACTTTCGCCGGCGAGGGTCGGTCGCGCCGGCGCCCCGGTTCAGCCCGGCGTCATCGCCCGCTGAGGTGTCTGCTGACGCCGCCGGACCGGGCGCAGCACGACGTCATCAGCCGGTGCGGAGAAGTCGGGTGAATGCGACCAGCGCCCAACAACTCAGCGGTGGCTGCTGGCCGCTTTGGCCGTGAAACATGCTGCGACGTCACCCCGTCTTTCGGCAAATAAGTAATGCTTAAAACTTGTTCTAAACGAGACGCTTTTCATGGTAAACGGATCACCACGTGACCTGTAGCCGTAAAGTTACCGAGGGAGAGATCGGCGCAAACCAAAGGATTATTCTGAACTGAAGCTACACTCTTGCCCTCTCTCTTGCCCACACTCAAGCCTGTGTATCTTCCATTGTATGACACCGACATGTCAATGGTTTCTGCATGTCACTTGGGGGTGCAGCGATACGAGGGTGCACCAAGGCGGTGGATGTAAAAGGCGGGAGCTGGCTATCCCTGGCTTGGGACCTCATATGATAGTTGATTCATACCACGCCTCTATTCATGGCTGTGGTGTCATATAATTGTACTGTCTCCAGGCCTAAATGGCGTGTTTTGGTGAACAGAGTTCCTTTAGAATCGCCCAAGGAGCGGTCTGAATGCAAGTCGGTGGACGTGGTTGAGCGTACATGGAAGTTCACAAAACAGTGTGTGGTCTCACTTGCGATCTAGATGAAGGGGCCAATGCCTACGTGCAGGACGGCACGCAATACGAAAAAGTGAAAAATTTATCACGTCTACATAGCTACACTGGTTCCCAACTCGACATTTATTAACGCGCGCTCGGGTGGGGTCAAATTGACCACCCAAAGATTTTTCCAGAATGGTTTCCGAACGGCGCGGCGTAGCCGCGCCAAATTTTGCATAGCTGTTTGCAATTGAGTAGCGGATCGTTTGGTGTAACAAATTTAGATGTACCTAGTAAGTTCACTGACCTATGGCAGGTCAAAATTAGACCATGGTTTCAGCAAAGTCAATTTCTAGGGAATCGTTCAATCTGATGCAACAACGGAGTGTTTGACGAAGCTTCACATGTTTGGGATGCCTTATTAGGCAACACAAACATTGAATGAGCAAATAAGGTTGGCCTAAGGTCTGGTATAAAGGTCAGACCAAGGTCAAAACCAACCTGTTTTATTGCTATGGGGCTTGCTGTAAGGGGGTATTTTCCGGTGCTCATTTTGAATTCATTGATAGCAGGAGCCATATCACACATCTTCAGTTGCCTTCTTAGAAACCATAAAAGGTCATTGACCTAAGATGACTCGGGTCGACATTTTTTAAAGAACGCATTGCCAAGCAAAATCTGTCCCTTATTCAAATGCAAAACTCAGGGCAGTCTTGTATGATTTCGGTCACCATGACCTGCAAAAGGTCAAGCAAAGTCATTAACTTTAAATGAGCTTGTGATCGTTTGCTTAGAAACAGTTATCTAGGTTCTGGGGCCACTTTGGAGACCAATCTGAAATTTGGCCTTGTTTGACCTTATTTGACAGGAAGGTCATGACCTAGTGACCTCAACCTTTGACATAAGTGAGTTTACTTACAGGTCAACACACCCTGCAAATTTGGTGTCTCCAGCTTCCTTAGTTCCCGAGATCTTAGGGGGGGGGGGTAAATTGACCCCCGCCCGCGCGAAGGGTATCTAGCCGGCCACCCGGGCGCGTGTTAACCCTCAGCAGCACAGCGTCTCTTTAACAGACACCGTACATTTGAATCCATAACTTAAAACAATTGAACTAACACATCCGTTTCAATAATTACACAGAAACAAAACAACAGCGCGCGCCTTTATATGAGCGCTTGCCACTTTACCACCAAACATATGCGAGAGTGACGTCAGGGCCGATAAACTGCGGGCTCAGCCCTCGTGGAGCGAGGCGCGGCCTGCGCCCCGGCACTATCGGAGCCCCGCGTGACTGGCTCACATAACAGCTGTAAATCTAACAATCGCTTGAGTGATCTGGCCCGGACACGGCCCTAGTGCCGCCCCAGCGGCAATAATCAGCCCGCGATCGGTAGCCCGCTTCGTGGACGCCGGGGCGGCGCGTGCCCGTCACCCTGACCCCTCAGTCCTCACCGTGGCCAATGGCCTCAAGCGTCGGGTCCGAGCGCTACTCGCTGGCGTCCGACGAGGTCGGCCCACCGGGCCTGCTGTGCGCAGTCCGGGTGTCAGTCAGCGACGCCCGTAACAGCCAGCTCGCGTGACGTGACGCCCGAACGGCGGATTTCTTATCGATCTCGCTCACTCGCCGCCTCAAACTGGCCGCTCGGGCTGACGGGGGAGCTGCTGAACCCCGCCTGCCAGGCCCGGTCCCCTTGCCCAGCGTGAAGGTGCGACGGCATGCTGCCGTCCCTGCGTACGCGTTTCCCCGTCTGCTGCATCCCGTGGTGTACGGGCGCTTCCCCTCTGCTGCATCCCGTGGTGTACGGGCGCTTCCCCGTCTGCTACATCGCGTGGTGTACGGGCGCTTCCCCGTCTGCTACATCCCGTGGTGTACGGGCGTTTCTCCCCGTCTGCTGCATCCCGTGGTGTACGGGCGCTTCCCCGTCTGCTACATCCCGTGGTGTACGGGCGCTTCCCCGTCCGCTACATCCCGTGGTGTACGGGCGCTTCCCCTCTGCTACATCCCGTGGTGTACGGGCGCTTCCCCGTCTTCTACATCCCGTGGTGTACGGGCGCTTCCTCTCTGCTACATCCCGTGGTGTACGGGCGCTTCCCCGTCTGCTACATCCCGTGGTGCACGGCCTCCAGCAGGCGTCCACCGGCGGAGCGCGATACCCGGCACGCTCCGGAAGGGATTGCGGGTCGCCACTAGTTTAGTGACGGGCGGGCGCCCACCAGGTGTCCTGCTGGGATACAGTGGCAGGAGGGCTTGTTGGAACCCCAGTGCCAGCCAGTCATGTGTTTGGTTGACTGGTGGAGTCTAATATGATTCCGGAATAGATTTAACTGTTTTCGCCCAGAAACAGATTTGGATTTGGATGCATTGGTTATTCGCCTAAATCAAATGCGGAGCTGTTGGCTTCTGGCTCATCATTCAGTTAAAAAGAAAAAGGAGGGAAAAGCAAGCGGCGCAAATTAGACTTACTCAAACTTGAGTGAGCTTCATCCGGGAATTATTTTTGAGGGGGTGGGGGCCTTTCAACATCAGGGGTCCTTTCACCGCGGTGCCCCTGCCCCTTAGCCAATGTTCTGGATGTTCCCTCCCCTGTGTGTATGCATATATATATATATATATATATATATATATATATATATATATATATATATATAATGTGCGTGCAATGATGCACATTTCTTGTGCATCGTTCTGTGCTTAATCAATGCGGATTCACAGTGATAACCGGGATCAGTTTCAGCAGTTATAATGAAGTCCGCTTTACATTCCGATTCAATAAAATAAATAAACTTTCTTTGAATGGGTTTCAGTTTCAGCTTGAACCGTTTTTTATATTCGCAATCAATTCCGCCCCAGCAGAACCGAGCACAATTCTGAAGGCGAGGGGCGCTCACCGGATCCGAGGTGCCTTTCCTCTTGCAGACGACCCTGACCGCTACCGAAGACGGTCCGTCGTGGCCCTGTGAACAAGCGCGGCCGGTGAGACGCCCCGCTGGCGAGCGCGCCGCCCCTCAGATCACCGGCGATACTGCACCGCACTGCTCCGCCCGTACAGGGGCGTCCGGCCGCATCGCTAGAAAGCCAAGGCGGCCAGGCGGAAGCACCTTTGTATACACAGAAAATTAGTTGGCGAACAGAACCGGGTCGATCTCCAAGAAATCAACGGCTAGATCTAGAAAGCGTCATGATGGATGTCGAACGTGCTAATGTGACGAGCGTGCATGGTCCAGAGCAGCAAAGCGTGAAGAAACGGCTGGATGTCGTGACGCAGTCAGATCACACTCCGTATCCAGGATCGCTCCGGGCGTGCATACAGCTGTGTCTGAAGACGGATTTTAACAATCTATAACTAGGCTGATGAATACGGCCTGCGCCATCGGCAGTAACGATACAACATTATGCATGGAAATGATTGTTAAGAAAACAGTAGATTAGGCTGAACGGGCGCTTGTATGACATAGATTTCAAGGTTATAAATATGTTAAAGTATTTATACCATTATGCCACGTTTAAGTGTTTATACCTATAACCCATTAATATTCCGACGGTCAACGGACAATGACTGTCATGTAATTATGTGAGCTCGGATGTATCATTATCTTTGAATGTTTGCACGGAAGAGGGTATAACTGTTTTTCACCCATGCCACCTATTTATTATGATCAGCACGCATTTTTCGGGACGTTTAACAATTTTGGTATGGGGGACCAAGATCACAGAAATACTTAAAATGTCCTTTAAACGTTACAGTAAACCAATGTCCTCGAAAGGATTGATACAGCGCTGGATTGCGTCGTCTGAGCCTCCAGGTGATAAAGCCGCGGTGTGGTTCGCAAGGCCATGTGTCCCGGAGGTGTCGGTGGTCCCGCATGCTATCGCTGGCCTGTGTCGACCTGCAGAGGTGTGTTCAGCCGTGTCATCAGGGGTGTCCAGCCGTGTCATCAGAGGTGCCCAGTCGTGTCATCAGAGGTGTTCAGCCGTGTCATCAGGGGTGTCGGGGCCGTGTCATGTCACAGCGTGCGGGAGAGCGGGACAGCCGGCGGCTACCGTGAGGTGGTATCAGTGAGAGCGAGCGGTCCGTGCCATGCAGCTCTACCAGGGGCGCAGACGGGGCAACCACTCCGTACTCACGTCCAGAGCTTGCGACTGGAATGACAGACAGGAAGACGGCGAGACGTCAGTTGGCGGGCACCACGCACGGCAGGGGGGGGGGGGGGCACATCCAAACAGGAGCGGTCACGCTGACGCCGCCGCCCACCATCACACTGCATTACCGAACAACGGACCCAGAACAGCGCCAACAAGAGGAGAAAGTGACGGCGGGAGGGTACAATACAAGAGGACAAAGGGCGCGACTGCATTCACGTTGGCGTGATGAAGAATGGCGTTGCGACACCGCATGAGGTCATATTTTATCCGCGGAATGCGTACGTGACGTCCCATTGCCTCGTCCCGCAGACACTAAGAGTGAGCAGCAAAGAACCGCTTGTGCCTGTAACCAGCCACAGGGCGCAGCACAGTTAATAAAGATAAAGACGTCAGGTAGGAAAGTCAATGCCATATCGATTGCTGACAGCACAACAGCCACAAACTCAGTGGTCGCGCCACTGCCCAGGTCTTTCACGTGCTGCGTGTGGTTACATATACACTAAGTGAGCTTTGACCGGCCGCACGTCTGGTACTACAGGGCTACAACTGGGCGTGGGAGACGGGCTATGCTCGCTGATGGCCGTGGTAGCCGCCTTTAAAGCATCGGCGGGCTCGGCCGCCCGGGTGTGTGAGGCCTGTCTGAATGCCTGCCTGAATGACACGCGGCTGTCCCTGACCATCCGGATACAGCCTTATTCCTCGTGTCGGTCCCCGCAAATGTTCACCCAGCCTCGTCTGCGAGCCTGTCTCTGGACGTCTCGCTCCCGGCCATATCGCGTGTCTGTGCATGTCCCTGAAAGTACATATCCTGCAAGGCATCCTTGCCTGGTCAATGAGAGTCTGAATCCTGTCACGTGTCCAGGTTTGTCCCAGACAGTCCGGATCCCGTCACGTCCCGGCGTCTGTCCCAGACAATCTGGACCCAGTCACGTGTCCGCACCTGCCCCTGACAGTCTGAACCTTGTCACATGTCCGCGTCTGTCCCAGACAGTCTGGACCCTGTCACGTGCCCGCGCCTGTCCCTGGCAGTCTGGACCCTGTCACATGTCCGCGCCTGTCCCAGACAGTCTGGACCCTGTCTCATGTCCGCGTCTGTCCCAGACAGTCTGGACCCTGTGTCGTGCCCGTACCTTCCCCTGACAGTCTGGACCCTGTCTCATGTCCACGCCTGTCCCAGACAGTCTGGGCCCTGTCACATGTCCGCACCTGCCCCTGACAGTCTGGACCCCGTCACGTGCCCGCACCTGCCTCTGGCACTCTGACTTCGTCACGTGTTGGCGTCTGAGCGGTGCGGTGTAGCGGGACCCAGGCCGTGTCTGTCCCGGCCAGTCGGGCCGAGGTAATGACGTCCGCCGCGGCCGGCCGTCCAGCCGATCGCCGGTCACGTCACGGGAGGCGTGCCCCGGCGCCGGGGTGGGGGAGGCCCGCCGGCCGGCCGGCCGGACGGAAGTGCGCGGGGCGGGTCTGGTTCCGGGGCCAGAGGCCAGCGGATGGCGGGCGTGCGGCCTGGCAGGACTGGACGGCGGTACGGGCGGGTCCGCCCCGTCCGCGGAGGTGCCCGCTAACACTCGGAGCTCTGATTTGTCTCCGCAAAATGCGGCGGTTCGCTACAAAAATCAGCAGACAGAAGAGCTGCCAGGATTGATCTCATCTCCCAACTCATCGTTACTTTCCGGGCATGACTGGCCGCATAAGCTTCCGCTGACCTTTAAAGTTACGACTGCGGCGGCGACCCTGCCGCCCCGCCGCTTCCTGTCGCGACCCGGCGCGGTCCGAGGCCGCTCAGCTGACCCAGTGCCGGGAGCAGCCACCTGGCTATTGACCCGTGCCGACCGCGGCGCTGACCCACAGACAGCTGTTGATTGGTCCCCGGCGCCGGGGCAAAAACGCATCGATCTCTCGTCGTCCGGACGCGGCCTGATTTCCGAAGTTGCGCCCACGCAGCCGGTGGGTAATTTTTACGGCAGCACGACAGCCAAGGTCGATCGACTGGCACGCACCGAGTCGGTGCCTCTGCTGAGAAAACAGACTCATCGGGCCGGCAGCTCGAAACCCGCGGCCCGTTAGGACCGGGCGCTGATGGTGTCTTTGGACACTTGCTGGGCGGGTGTGCAGTGATCTTCCTAACCTTGATTAACAAAACGAGTGAAAAATATCCTTAATTCTAACTAAACATGTCCATACTATTTCTAGTGCCTAGTGTTAGTATTTCTTGTGCATTCTCGCGTATTTAATCTAGATAATTCCAGAGACAACGATGGGCTAACCTGCATAACATGCAAAACCTACATAATCAGTCGTTGCTGTGGTGTTCTTTGGGACCGCATCGGTGTGTGTGTGCATGTGTGATGATCATGTAAAACTTTTCATCGGAGGATGCAACATCATTTCATTTTAGCAGCTTGTCATAAGCTTCGACAGTCCTCTTTCAGTTTTTATGTGTTTGTTTGTGGGTTTGTTTGCATTTGGCTCATCGTAAGGTGTTTGCTAACTGTACCAGGGTTATGAATGGAGCTGTCCATATCAGTGCATGCAGCATGAGTAAAGGTGATGATGTGGATCAGCTTCGCCGAGCCCCTGCACCTGTCTCCACCCGGCGCGTGCCGCCGGCAGCCGGCGGTACGAGCCGTTACCTCTCTGTCCAGCGCGCGGGTGAGCGTGATGTTGCTGGTGCCCGGCTGGATGGTGACGGCGTAGTCGCCTCGGTCCAAGCTCAGGCTGATGTCGCCGCGCTCCGACGGGTCGCCGACACCTGCAAGGAGCCTGCGACACACGCTACACCGTCAGGGAGCCTGCGACACACGCTATACTGTCGAGGGGCCTGCGACACACGCTACACCGTCAGGGAGCCTGCGACACACGCTATACTGTCGAGGGGCCTGCGACACACGTTCACCGTCAGGGAGCCTGCGACACACACTACACCGTCAGGGAGCCTGCGACACACGCTATACTGTCAGGAAGCCTGCGACACACGTTACACCGTCAGGGAGCCTGCGACACCGTTACACCGTCAGGGAGCCTGCGACACACGCTACACCGTCAGGGAGCCTGCGACACACGTTACACCGTCAGGGAGCCTGCGACACACGTTACACCGGCAGGGAGCCTGCGACACACGTTACCACCGGCAGGGAGCCTGCGACACACGTTACACCGGCAGGGAGCCTGCGACACACGTTACACCGTCAGGGAGCCTGCGACACACGCTATACTGTCAGGAAGCCTGCGACACACGTTACACGGCAGGGAGCCTGCGACACACGTTACATCGGCAGGGAGCCTGCGACACACGTTGCACCGGCAGGGAGCCTGCGACGCACGTTACACCGTCAGGGAGCCTGCGACACACGTTACACCGTCAGGGAGCCTGCGACACACGTTACACCGGCAGGGAGCCTGCGACACACGCTACACCGTCAGGGAGCCTGCGACACACGCTACACCGGCAGGGAGCCCGCGCCACACGCTACACCGGCAGGGAGCCTGCGACACACGCTACACCGGCAGGGAGCCTGCGACACACGTTACACCGTCAGGGAGCCTGCGGACACACGCTACACCGTCAGGGAGCCTGCGACACACGCTTTACACCGGCAGGGAGCCTGCGACACACGCTACAACCGTCAGGGAGCCTGCGACACACGTTACACCGTCAGGGAGCCTGCGACACACGTTACACCCGTCACCGCGCCGCCGGCGGCCGGTCGCACGCCCCACCGCCAGCGCGCGCGACCCGTGCTGATGGCCTTCGCGAGACGGTGAGGACGCCGAACGAAACGTCACGTTTCGTGAACAGGATGGGAACGACCCCGCATATCTTTGAAGTGAGATGATGTCACCCAAATACAAAACAAGTGGAATCTTGAAATGCATGCACTGAAAAGAAACAACGAAGGGTACCATTTACTGCGGGAAACTCCCACGATAACCTTTCTGCGCAGGTGGGAGGGCTTCATCGCGAGCACAGGACTCATACGGAGTATAAGATCAGGCTATAAGATCGCCATTTACAGGGGATCAGTTATGCACCAGCCGTGCCATTTAGACTCTATCGCGCTAGTCGATTCCACCCAAATGTTAGATGTCGTGTGTGCGATCCATGCGGTATGACCCTCGCCGGCTCCCCGTTAGCCCATGCGGTATGACCCTCGCGGGCTCCCCGTCGGGCCATGCGGTATGACCCTCGCCGGCTCCCCGTTAGCCCATGCGGTATGACCCTCGCGGGCTCCCCCTCGGGCCATGCGGTATGACCCTCGCCGGCTCCCCGTCGGGCCATTTCGCAGTGTTTAGCAGAGCTGGAAACTGAAGCAGTGCGCCGAACAGTCTTATACACTGCGTTGAAAAAGCCAAGGGTTACATCGGTTCCCTTTGCCACCAAGGGTTAAAAAATTACTCGTGGGTTCCCTTGAAGTGCGCGATTACTTGGCAATTCGCCGAGTGTCAAGTTTGGTCCAGTGCACGTATTGGGCTACTGTGGTCTACTGAGAAAAATGTCAGTGGAAATTTTTGAAAAAGCACGCCAATGTAAAACTGATATGAGGTGTTTTTTGTTTAACCAGTGTTAATGAATTCTGTTGTGTTAGGCCGCCCTATTGACATCGAATCTTAAGATAATGTGAGCGAGCTGGACGTGAGCCATGGGCAACAGCCTTTCACAACGCATAGCACGCAATTAACAAAGGTAAATGGTACTGACCTATAACGGCTCCAACTTCCAGGTCCTCCCGGACAAAAAATGTGGCGACCGAGCTGGACTCCCGTAAATAGCATCGCGAGTCTGAAACACAGGGGAGCGGTGGTCAGCGGTTTGACAACCTGAACAAAATCCTCGTAGTCTTAAACATGGGGCAACGTTACACGTCACATTCCGAGATAGTGAGCTTGACATGACTCCAGAAAGGCCGACGGTAAAGACAGATCATCGAAGATATATCGTAAGTACAGGTGGTCAGTCTACGAGGTTGCAACAGAAGTGAATAACTGGTCAACTTCTCGCATATTACGTTGTAGGATGAAACGCTGTCAAAAAAATATGCTTTCATTTCGATCACACTTAAATTGGATGACTTTGCATCAAGGCTACATTCAGACAGCTCTGATACCGATACAGCTCTGATATGTGCTTGTAATCGTTACTTCCAGCCAATCCCTATACACTATATACACATTACAATTGTTCAATTCTAAATATATTGAATTAAATTTCGCCGCGTACAACACTAGACCAGAGCCAGAAGAATCGAGACATTCATTAGGCGAACGGACCATGAACCGCATTCCGACGCCTCCGAGTTCCGGGCCCTACCTTGAATCCCGGGCCGAGAGGAGCTCCACTGGCTCACCCCTCGCCTGCCGCTGACAATTTCCGTAATGTTGTGCGCTATGTGATCCGTTGTTTTGTCTATCTAGCGACCAATTACATGATTCACGGCTTACTAATTTCTGCACATATGTGATAGACGACACGCTACCATAAATCCAGTGCGTGGTATCATTTATACCGGCAAAAACCGCGTGTTTTCTGCTTCCCATGCTCGTGCAACGCACGTGCGCCTGACACACGACCACGTGTTTGAAACACGTGCGTACAGCCCGCCGGGGAGGGCGAGTGGCCGTGCCACATCAAAGTCGGCTGCCATTATGGCGTCAGTCAACAGCCGGGAAGTGGGCGAGAGGCCTGTTTATCGCGATGCTGGGGCAGTCGCTCGACCGCTGCGGCGTCGAGGCCGTCAAATGTGACGCGGGTAGCGGTGCTAGGCCGTCACAAACCCTCGCTCAGCTAGGACCGTGGCACACGGACCGTCCCAGGCCATCGTACACCTCGGCGCGAAAGGAGCTGTCACTCGGCTCGCGGTGATGGGACCGTCACACCGCTGCGGTGCTGCCGCTGAAGCTGTCCTGCACCGTGGGCATGCTGGGGCTGTCGCACGCCGTAAGGATGCTGGAGCTGTCCCAGCCGCTGAGGCTTCAGCGGCTGGGACTGTCACACACCGTTTACCATCTGGGACCTACACGCGCTGCCGTGTTGTTGGGACTGTCACGCAGCGCTGCGGTGCCGAGGCTGTCACGTAACGTTTGCAGTGTTGAACCGTCACACACAGTTGTGGTGTACGGACGTCACACAAGGCTTACAGTGTTCGTACCGTCACGCATCTGGGTCCGTGTGCCAAGACGTCAACTGCAGAAGTGAATAAACAGCACGCTCTCATGTGAAATGCACACCCCTGCGCCTCGAAGACCGACGGCTAACTAGCTGAGCGCCAGCCCGGTCACTTCTGCGGGGTCCAACTCACGACTGGAAGCCGAGACCTCCACGGAACAGGAGACATGAGATGCCGATAAGAGACGAGATGTCGCGACAGTACAGCTCCGGCGTGGCGACACATGGCCATCGATCCGACAGGCCGCGGGTGGCTGCCGCCCCTCGCCTAATGAGCCCAGAGGCGAGCCGCTGATGGTCGTGCGTGAAAGCTCCTATACCTGAGCCACCGCCAGCGCCATCCGGCACGCATTTCACGGCTCGCGTGCGACAATGGTCCAGTCGAGGCTAGGTGGGAACGGCGCGTCTCGGCGGGGGAAAGCATGTGGGAAGGCGCCCACTGCCCTCGTGGTGCTCAGCTAGCCACAGGGCAGTTGGGGCCAGCGGCGATCGAAGGATCCCTTCATTCCAGAGCTGTAAATACCTCAAACAAGTCGCTCCCAGTTCTGTTGCCACGGCGCCTGATAGACTGTGATGTCGCTTCGCTGCGAGCCCACTGATCCTCTCGCGTACGTGCTAAATCTTGACCAGGATGTCACAAAAGCCTAGCCACGTTTTCAATGATTGCGGCATTTAGCACTAAGCGATCGCACTGGGGCGGCGCCACTGACTTTTTCCAGGGAGCGGGCAGATTTGGTGGGATAAAAGCCTACCAAGCAGAGCTAAGGACCTACCCAAAACACTATCAAAACATTTCCTTCCAATTTCCCCCAGCCTTTTTCCAAATGATCCTCTTGTCACACATGTTGAGCACTGCCTACTCTTGGCATGGCGGCCTTACTGGTATCACTATTCAGGTCTCTCTCTTCTTGGGTTGGCCGGCTTGTTGTGCTGTTTTTTCATGTGCCTCCTTCCTGTACATCTGTTGAGCCAACCTTTGGATCATCTGGGGACTCCTTTTGGCCAATATGGTCTGGTCTTGACCAGCTAGAGCCTTCTATGGACCAAATGTTGCCTCTTGTGTACGTAGGCCCCCTTTTTATGTGATAAAATGGTACGTCTCGATAATTTGGGGCTTCCTCGGGCATAGGAAACTTCCTGAAGCTTCAGGGAGGGCATATTTGCTGTCCCCTTGCAAAATAGCCAGGGGAGACTGCTGTCCCAACTGCCTTGCCCTTCAGGTGATGTCGTATCTGCCAAAGGTCCGAGCGTGAGAGCCGTGTATCCCAAGGTATTCGTACTGCTGCCAACGGTGCGGTGGGTCTTTCGTTAGCGGGAGCTATCAAAAATTTGACATCCCATTAGAGCTTAGCAATTTAAACGTGAATGATACGCGAGTCCAAGATTCTTGCGCTGAAAAATTGTATGCTATGTAGCTAATCATTGTTCGTTAGGAAGTAGAACACTTTCAGAATTCCTGGCGTCCATCTCTTGAGTCAGACCCGGTTCTAATGATTCTGCTGGCCATTTCTATGAAGAGCCAACGACCGCGGTGGTCGCACCAGCGCACAGCAGTCAACTTCAGTCTGGAACCTTGTCTGATCGACCGATGGGCACCTCAGAAGAGGGCTACACGCCACGGTTCTTGTCAGCAGTGACCTGTCCCTAATCAGATAGAAAACGCCGTTCGTCGTAAAGAGGCCGATGCCATGAAGTAGACCACGCCATCAGCTCTTCTTCCTGCATTACCCACAACGCCCGGCCTTCTTTTCAACACGGGGCCGGGTTTTAGACGCATTCGAATGTTTCCCAAAATGGTCACCAGGGACCGCTAGGTGGGCCGGTCCAGGCGGGCGGAAGGTGGCGCCGGGGCGCGCACCAGCTCGGCGCGGCGGCGCGGCGGACCAATAGGGCAGGCGGGCATCGCTCGCCGCTGAGCATGTGGAGCACGCGCTGAATCACACCCGGGCGACCACAGGTGCGGAACATTGGGGCCGGGCGACACCGCACACGGCCAGGTCTCGAGCATCACGGCCGGCGCGTGACGCGCGGACTCCGAAGCTCCGCGAGAGAGCCTGAATCAAGCAATCGCCTCTAGTTGCGGTAGAGGTGACTCTTGGTGAGGCTCTGGGATGGGATCGTCCAAACGGACGCGCTGAGGTAACTCACTACGGCTAGCTGCTGGAAAACAAAGGAGAACTGATGGCTCCGGTTCGTTATTGTAAAGCGAAGCACTTTCGAAAGGAAATGGGCGCACAAGCCTGTTGGGTTCGGCTCAACCGACGCTCCCGATAGGCCGAGTCACGCGGCTAATGACCGGAGAGGGCCAGACTGGCAATGGAAAGCTGCTACATGTCAGACACGATGAAGCAACGGTACTTAACTGGAAGGCCGGAGGACAAGGCTCCAGAAATCCCTTTTAGCTTTCTGGAGTATCTGCTTGAAATCCGGCCTTTACATAACGACTTCGAGGCAAAAGTGGGACGCCTGGCCTTACATGTAGTACATGCCAAACTTAACAGAACTGCCTCCCATAAATGCCCCCCAAAACCTTGCCTCCACCTTGATTGCACGGAGGACCTAGATATTCCCTGGGGCTTATATATCTACAAACAGGGGCCCAGCCAGGATTTTTACAAATAAAAAAACGCAGGTTCTTAATATTCTGCCGGCCGCCATCGATGGCGAAATAACAGAAAATGCGGACCAAAGGCTTCCCCATTCTTGGCTGCGTCCCTGTGTATGATCCAAGACTGAGCCATCGCCTCTTCCAGCGTCCACGGCAGCACCGGGGAGCCGACGCCTGCGGGCGTACCG